TTACATGTAAAGTCAATTCTCACCTCCGGTCAGGTGATGCGCACATCTCTGCATAATACTTTATTTTTGGTTCTGTCCCGCTTGTCCGAAGAGTAGCAACACAACCATTTTGAAAAGTAAAGGTAATCATCTGGCTGTTCTTACTCACAGGCAGCACCTATGCACAATGGCAATAAAAGCTTAATTACACCTGATATCTTTTTCCATTTTCAAGAACTATAAAATACAAAAGAAGATTACTTATATAATAATTCATAAATATATCATTTAATGAACATTTATATAGTCCATGCACTGGGTTATAAACCTTACATACATGATCTCTGGGCCTTAGCAATAATCCTACAAAGTCAAGATGAGGCTCAGAGTAAACGATTTGCATAACAGCTAAGTGGCACAGCAAGAAGTGGAAGCCAGGTCTAACTGCTCCAAGTCCAAATTGTCTCTATATACTGCTAACCAGAAGGCCGGCAGTTCAAACCCACAGCCACTCCTCAGAAGCCCAAGGAGAGGTCGCTATGAGTTAGATCCGACTCCAGGGTGGTGAGTTTCATTTTTTGCTTTTTTACACTTCAAAGGAGCTGTGGTGGTGCAGTGGGTAAGGCAGTTGGCTGCTAAGCAGAAGGTCGGTGGTTCAAACCCACCAGCTGCTCTGTGGAGGAAGATGAGGCAATTTACTTCCATAAAGAGTTACAGCCTTGGAAATCCTATGAGGTCGCTATGAGTCAGAATTGACTCAATGGCAGTGGGTTTGCTTTACATTTCAAAGCATTTTCACTAACAGTTTATCAATGTCTCCAAAGTGGAGTGCGTATATCTTCAGAGATATCCAAAATAACCTACTGGGAAGCAAAAATACATTGTTTAAGTTAAAAGCATATATATATATATATATATACACGCTATATATATCTGATTCTCTAATTCTCTCCATCACTGCTGGTACTAAGTAAATATAAGTATATATACATATGCTTTTAATTTAAAAATTAAGAAAGAACTTTAGCTTTACTGACATTTAATATATGGATTGACTTGACACTGCTATTCTCCCTGGTCCTCGGATGAGTCTGTCAAGTATCCTGAGGGAACTGTACTATCCCTTGGTTGACAGTGGTGCTTTCACTTAGATGTCCTGAGTCTTGGTCCCTTCCTTGAGATCTGTCTCCATCACTGGTACTATAATACACCAGCTGCTTAAGAAAAAGACTGTCTTCCCTTCTTTTTCACAGACCATCAACCCAGAAGGTCCTATCTATCCTATCCTTTATTTCATTCAACTTTATCTAATTCTCTCCATCACTGCTGGTACTAAGTAAATCCAGGCTACCATAATTTTTCATCTAAACTGTTAGAACAGCATATGAACTGCCTGCAAGTTTGACCCTTTTCAACTTACTCTCCATATATGCCATTCTTCCCTCACTCCATACTCGAATTATAAAGAATACCTGTGGTTCTCTGGAGGAGATACGCCTTCTCATTTCTACACTGGGCACTTGCTGCTCCCTTTGCCTGAAACACCTGTTCCTCCTGCATCTGGATAACTCCTGATCATACTTTACAATCTGGCTCAGATTAGTCCTCTATAACATCTTCCCTAAGCCCTAAAATCTGAACTAGGATTCTCTCCTATGCTCTTTCATGGGAGTCAATCCATTCCCTGGTAGCACGATCATATTGTAAAGCAGTTATTGTTTACTTATCCATTTCCCCACTAGAATGTGTCTTGAGTGAAGAAACCGTGCCTTTGTCCTTACTGTATCCCCACAGTGTATGTCCCTGTAGCATAGAAGGGTTTTAATAAATACATACAGATGAATGTCAGCCTGTAGCGTGAAGAAAAAGTTTAAGGAATCATTGCCACTTGCTATGTTAACACTGAGGAAAACAACAACTGTGCTACTTGCCTTATAAAACTGTTATAAGCATCAGAAAAGCAGATGAAAAAGCACTTTGAATACAAGTATCATAAAATTTAAAGAGTTAGAAAGAAAAAAGCACCATATCAAAGGTTACTCTAAGCACAGCAACATTAGAGAAATAAAAGGAAGCAGAGCATTGGCTCTTCTCTTCAAATAGTTTATAAAGGCAGAAAAAGAGACACGCACACACAGAATACCAACAACTGAGAACTGGTGCTTGCTGACTAGATGAATATGCAAAAATAGTATATGGCTAATATTCTACATAGGAGCTCTGGTAGCATAGTGCCTAAGGCATTTGACTGCTAACCAGAAGGCTAGTGGTTCAAACCCACCAGCCGCTCCTCGGAAGGAACGTTGGGCAATCTACTTTCATAGTGATACCACCTCAGAAACCTAGAAGGGGTCGCTATGAGTCGGATCTGACTCGACAGCAGTGAGTTTGTTTTTTTTTAATATTCTACGTAAGAGGTTACAGATCTCCCAAAATATTACATCCCTAGAATCTTGAGACAACGTTGGAGGGCTACAAATTGAATGCTAGGCTAATAATAGAATCATAACAACAGCAACAAAATGAATATGATCAGCAGTCTACAAAGTTTAAGTATTTATGGAGCATCTTATAGGCAAGCAAGGAGCTCTGGTGGTGTAGTGGTTAAGTCATTTGGCTGTTAACCAGAAGGCTGGCAGTTCAAACATACCAGCTGTTCTGTAGAAGAAAGACTGGGCAGTCTGTTTCTGTGAAGATTTACAGCCTTGGAAACCTAATGGGTTTGCCATGAGTTGGAACTGACTTGATGGCAGTGGGCTTTGTTTTTTTTTGGTTTTATAGGTAGGCAGGAGCTTTGAGAGGCTTTCCAGGTATTTCAGAAATGGATCTGGTATGTGTAACACAATGATAACACAAGATGAAAAATAATAAATGCCAGGAGGAAGGTCTATTATGTAATGAAACATCAGGAGAAAGGTATCTGATTATGGGATCTGAAGGTTACATGGAAGAGGTGACATTTGCCTTGGGTCTTAAATAATGCTGAGGTATGGTCCTGCAGCAGTAGAAAGAAAAGGCTGACTGAGGAAACAACTTGAGCAAAAATAAAGAAATAAAAATATATGCATGTATGTAAGAAACTGTAAGTTGTTCTGATTGGTCAGAAGTACAAGGAATAAGATTAGAAAGGGAAGTTAAAATTAGATAGGTGTATGGCTTTAAAATAATAGGCTTTTAGACTTCATTGTCAACATCATTTGGCATCAAAACATATACACACACATACATATTCTACAGGAGTAGCACAGATGATTATTTGGGGGTCTTGTGGATTGAATTGTATCCCCTAAAAATACATGTCTACTTGGCTGAACCATGATTCTCAATATTATGTAATTATCCTACATTTTGTGATCCTATGTATTATATGGAGCTCTGGCGGCACAGTGGTTAAAACATTCGGCTGCTAACTGAAAGGTTATTGATTTGAATTCACCAGCTGCTATTCAGGAGAAAGATAAGGCAGTCTGCTTCCATAAAGATTTATAGCCTTGGAAACCCTATGGGGCAGTTCTACTCTGTGTTATAGGGTCACTATGAGTTAGAATCAACTAGGTGGCAGTGGATTTTTGGGTATATGTTATAAATTCTTTGTAGGAGCTCTGATAGTGTAATGCCTAAGGCACTTGACTGCTAACCAGAAGGCTGGTGGTTCAAACCC